CCCGTCCAATATGCTGCACTGCATGACGCTGAACGTGTGCTATGGTGACTTTGTCCGTCCGTATGCCTGCTATTAGAAGGCCAAACTTAACCCATCAACTTAATGTCTGTGATCCCTTTGTGGGGTGCTACATATGGTTTTGTTTGACAGATTTGGAGTTTATAAATTTTGTGTTTTAGTGACAATGAAGAGTACCAGGAACAGTAATGATAATAAAAATGACTGAATATTAAGGCCGTACACAAGATTGTTATTATTATTTTTATGATTATTTTTTTCCGACACAGCTTTGATGCCGATAGGCCTACATTAATTTGGAATTAGCCCTACAGATAATGTTCTGTGCAATTAAGCTGCCATTCAGATCCTGGTCTAGTTTGACGGGGAGATAGTTCACTGATTTGGCTCCTTTGATGTCGACCCCATTGCAGGTTATGTTGAGAACATATCTTTTTCGAAGGTTCTTTTTGTTAGTGAACACTGTAAGTGAATGTCTAATGATCATTTAAACTCCAGAGGAATGGCAGTGGGGTTGACCAGTGATACGATTAATACGGGTTTCAGGTTAGGTCCGGGAGTCTGGAAACCGGGGGCCGTCAAGTATGTCCAGTCAGGGGTATGGAACAAAGGGGTATTGGTGTAACTGTCAGGGGATTTGACAACGTATTTTCAGTGAGTAAATTATATTGTGGAAAGTGGGAAACTGAACTAATAAGACTGCCATGATGGAAAGGGGGGAAAGTTTGACAATATCCGGAGTATGATAAAAATTAGTAAGTGGAAGGAAGGCTGAAATGGGTATTGTGGACCATTGTTTTGCATTTTGTGCTAAGATGGTGTTTTCATGACTGTGGAAAACAGGGCTCGGGCAGGGAATTAAATCATGCTAGAATTGGGAAAATTAGTCAGTCTAAGCCGAGCTGCCGAGGAGTTCAGATTGGATCGACTAACACAATTTTGCTACCGTGATTTAGTTAATGTGTAGACGATTGTGACTGAACCGTTAGTTTATCTTGGTTGTGCATAAGGATTGGGTACTGACGGGACGTTTGTAACTAATTCATGTTAGTACATGAACCGGTACTGTACCGTTATTTAATTTTGTGACAATGTATCTCGGCAGGGCGAGGGGGTGCGCGATGGGTCATCGTGCCCCTAAGTGTTAAGCATTAGTTTGCTAGGGTATCTCACGCGCTGAGGGAGTGAGTGGAAGTGAATAAACCAGCTAGAAGTAGATAGTATCACACATGT